TCAGGTATTTTCAGCTTTGACCTTTGATGACTCTTTTGCTCATTACTCTCTCTACCAAACTCCAATTGAGTTGATTCTTGCTTTTATGGAAACTAGACTCAATTATCTTTAATTTGACTACTCACAAGACTGATTTGGATATCGGGAAGGGTCTCAAATAAATCTGGGAACAATCGCAACAGTTCAGTTTTAGATTCTGCGTTTTATATCCAAAACTCATGTTATACTCAAACTCATAAAACTCACAACCAAGAAGAAAAACACATGCTTCAACATGTTAAATTTAATCTCAACACACAAGGAAGAAAGCATGAAACAATTTGTATGGTTACCTTCTACCCATCATACACTATGTTATATCCCAAGTTAAACCCCCTTACCTTTTTGCCTTGAACACTTTAACTTGATCTCTTCCACAACCTTGGTAGAACTCTAGTTTCTTGGAATCCCTCTCTTCTTTCACAGGCCAAGACAATCTCCACACTTAGCACACTTAGAAATTTCGAAATACTCTAACTAAGGGCCTTTCTCTGCTGTCCAAAACACTCATTCAGCTTTGGAATTAAAGGAAATGATTCCTAGACACACAAGGACCCATGGAATTGTTATTTAGCAAAGATAATTCAATAAAACAATGCCCCATACTCCTTTCCAGCCCCAAAACATGGAGGGAATGTCTGAAAGGGTCCCCAAAATATTCTCACAAAAGGAACCGCAGCCAAGCCAGCTCACATTGCCTACAATCCAAAAAAATTTACTGCTCACGCAAATCCCCAGCAGCAAAATTTACCGCAACTTTGACAGTCCGGTTGACCCCCTTACCGAAGTCGAAAATACGCGTATGAGTACTCAAATCGAAGCTCTTTGAGTCTACTATCCAATAAAAGAAGAATCAGCTAAATTGATATTTTCTACAAAAAGTTATAATTAAAATAGTAAACCATGTCAAGTCTGACAGCACTTTATTTTTTACATTATAACTTAAACTTTTTACAACTAGGTAAGTTCATGAGGTTCTAGGGTCTTACAATATTCACTATCCAGTATTTATTGACTCGTGCACAATATGGAAAGATATGATCTATCGAGCTTCCTAGATACAAACTTAGGGTACAACCAAATTCAAATGTGTGTACCCAATGAGGAGAAGACGACCTTCATGATAGAGGGAGTTAACTTGATGGATAACGTGTTTGTCGAACTCATTAGGAAGATAATGGAGGTCTATGTAGACGATATGGTTGTGAAATCCACGACCACGGTCGACTATCCGATACATCTATAGGTCGTCCTCGACAAGGTACGCCATGATGATATGGGATTAAGCCTAGAAAAATAATTTTTTTTGCAGGTGGCACAAGTTCCTAGAATTCATGATAACCTAGCGATGCATTACTCAACATGAGGAGCTCGACCAACCTGAAAAAGGTCCAAAGTTTGAACGACAGAGTAGTCTCACTCTTCCATTTTCTGCCATGCCTAACATAGAAGGCAAGACCCCTCTTCAAGCTGTTAAATAGAGCTCAAACATTTGTTTGGACAGAGTGTGAGACTATTTTCCAAGAACTAAAGAGGGAATTCGCTATTCTCCCAATTCTCACCACCCCTTAGTCAAACCAACTAATAAAGAATCTTCAACGGGTACGAATTTGAGGAAAAATCCTCTTCAAGAAGGAGGGTATGATAGATGACTATCTCTTGAAACATATATGAGAAGAACTTGAAGAAGAACATTTACAATTCAAAGGATCAATGACAAGGTCAAATATCAAAACACGTTTCCTTGAATCTTGATTCTTATAATCTTCCATAAAGAATGAAATTTAAAGAACATGAAGATCATCAGCACAATTGAAAAATAAATTAGGAAATTAAATAAATTGTATTTTTATTTTAATTACAAACAATTTGTTCCTATTTTTCAAGTTATTTTTGAACCAAATGTCATTGGGCTTTCTTTTAGGGTTTCTTAAGTGCCTTAAACATTTGTACCTATATATAGGGGCACCAAATACATATGTAGGCACTTTTGAGTCATAATATATGCATTTGCGTTTTTGAGAGCGAATTCTCTTGGTTCATGGTTTAAAACTCTAATTCTTATCAAAGATTATCATCTTTGTGGTGAATCTTCCTTGACTTATCAATCTGATAGATTGTGGCGTCCCCATCTCTGTCTTATTCCACGTTCTTCTCTGATTTATTTTTATTGTGCCCCTTGAGGATTCAAATTCAAAAAAGATCGTACTCTTTCCTAGACAAGATCATATCATCTGGTATCTAGAGCAAGGTTGTGGTTTGAATATCCTCTTTTATCTTATTTTTTTGTCATATTAAAAACAAACCGAAAATCCAATTCCTTTGAGTTTTTAATTTTCATATTTTTTATGTTCTTCTTTTAATTTATGTATTTCTACATTTGATTCGTGGAAATTATCTATTTTTATTTTTTGTATTTTTATGTTAATTGTAGTCCCAATTAAATCTTTACCTTGATCTTGTATGAGTTTTAGTGTTTAAAGGAGAATCTTTGTTTCTATGTTGAACTGCAAATTAAAAAAAAAATATTGTGGATCCTAGTAAAAAAAACAGACAAACATATATTAAAAAAAGGAAGTAAGGATCCAATAGTAAAAAATTATTATGTTGACCATTTGTCTATGAATGTTAATATATTATATTCTGTTTTTTTAGAGTCTTCATGTTGTCTCATTTAAATCTTTTATGGTAGTCCTATAATTTTCTATTTTTATTATTTTAGTGTATTTTAAATATTCCTTGAAGTTTTGTCTAGAGTTTTCTATTTTCTTTGACCTCGTGAGTCAAGATTAAGATCTCGTAACATTTTTCACATTGTTTGTTCACTCTTTGCGTAAGCTACTAGAGTTCTTTGCCAAGTGTTAAGGAGAATTTGAGTGGTAAAATGCGAGAGAGTACATTCAAGAAAAAGCCTATAAGTGTGATACACGAGTGAAACACTTAGATGAGTGAGACATCCTTTTGGAAGTTGTGTGCTCATGAGGTCTTGGTGGAGAATGTCAATGCCTTGGTGTCTAGAATTATAAAGTTAAAAGGTGAAATTTTTAGTATTAAAAGGAACTACAAGCATGACAAAAATGATTTCCCAAGGGTTAGATCAAGTGCTATAAGATGTTCCAAGAAGGCTATGGGCATGAAACTCATCAGTGTCCTAATTGGAATGCAAGTCCCCTGATTACTAATGAAGACCTCAAAAACTACATTTTTTATTTGAAAGAGAAAGAAGAAAAAACTTTGCAAAAATTAGATGCAATGGAAAGAAAACAAGAGCGAAGGCTTAAAAGAGCAAGAGAGTGTAAAGAAAGAGAAAAGAGAGAAAAATAAGAGAAAGAAAAGAGAAAATGTGAAGAAAAAGAAAAGAGAGAAAAAGAGGAGAAAGAAAAGAGAGCGAGAGAGGAGAAAGAAAATAGAGAAAAAGCAAAGAAAGAAAAAAACAAGAGAGGAGAAAGAAAAGAAATGGAGAGAAGAGAAAGAAGAAAAAGAAAGAAAAAGAAGAGAACATCCTAATTTGTCATTAAAAAAAAATACTTACTGGCCTATTTTTGTTTTGTTTCCCAGGGAAGACTTGTTTATCAAGGAACCATGGCATCAATAAGGGAAGGAAGACATGATGACAGAAAAGGAAGACATAAGTCTAGAACTCAAAGAACTTGTGTTTGATAATCTGTTAACTTATTTGTCAATTCATTTGGATATTCAAAGTCATTCTGTTAGTATGGAAACAAGCTTAGAAATATATGCACATGAGTTAGCTTGTTTGACCATCTCTAAAATATTTAAGAATAACCAAAGTCATACTTATAGTTTGATTGTTTACTTGAGCATTGTATCCTTAATTTAAAATCAGTTGATGATATTTGCAGGTGGTTATTTGACCCTAGAGGTAGACCTCCAAATCTTTGATAATAAGAAATCGGCCTCTTCAAGGATCCAAATCTCATTTTAATAGATTTATATTTTGGATTATTTTAGATTTATGTCTTTGATTTATGTTTTTGTTTGTGCGTAGGATCTTCTAGAATTCGGGTCGAATTCCCTCTAAACAGTGGAGAATGACAAAGAATCTTCAAGGGGTACGAATTTGAGGACAAATCCTCTTCAAGAAGGAGGTATGATAGATGATTATCTTCTGAAACATATATGAGAGAACTTGAAGAAGAACATTTGCAATTCAAAGGATCTATGACAAGGTTAAAGATCAAAACACGTCTCCTTGAATCTTGATTTCTATGATCTTCCATAAAGAATGAAATTTAAAGAACATGAACATCATCAGCACAATTGAAAAATAAATTAGGAAATTAAATAAATTGTATTTTTACTTTAATGGCAAACAATTTGTTTCTATTTTTCAAGTTATTTTTGGACCAAATGTCATTGGGCTTTCTTTTAGGGTTTTTTAAGTGCCTTAAACATTTGTATCTATATATAGGGGCACCAAATACATATGTAGATACTTTTGAGTCATAATATATGAATTTGCATTTTTGAGAGAAGATTCTCTTAGTTCTTGGTTTAAAACTCTGATTCTTATTAAAGATTAACATCTTTGTGGCGAATCTTCCTTGACTTATCAATATGCTAGATTGTGGTGTCTCCATCTCTGTCTTATTCCGCGTTCTTCTCTGATTTATTTTTATTGTGCCTCTTGAGGATTCAAATTCAGAAAAGATCGTACTCTTTCCTAGACAGGATCATATCATCCTTTGGTACTATATATGGTCGTATCACACTCGTGGTCAACTCAATAATTGTCATGGAGGAAGAAATGAAGCAATAGCCCATGTACTTCACAAGCCAAATTCTGTAATTTATGGAAGAACGATACCAAACCATAAACAAGTTGGTTCTGACTTTGGTCTTCTCAGCTCATCGACTGTCAATACTACTTCAACAACTTCAACGTTTATGTCCATATAAATTATCCAATCAAACAAATCTTACAAAAGCCAGAATTAGTAGGACGAATGATAATTGGATAGTGGAACTTTCTGAGTTCGAGATCACATATCAAAATAGGGGTTTGATGAAGTCGGATGTCCTAGTAGACTTTCTCATCGAGCTCCTTAGCAAAGGAAATTAGCTCGCATGGTGGTCCTTTAATATTAATAGGTCCTCTAACAAGAAAAGTAATGATGTAGGAATTATACTAGAAGGACCCGACGACCTCATCCTAGAACAAGTTATCCACTTTAATTTTAGTGTGTCCAACAATCAAGCAGAGTATGACGCCTTAATTACTAGACTACAACTAGCCCATAGGCTTAAAGTGAAGAAGTTACGCTGCTACAACAACTCTCAGCTTGTCATAGGATAAGTAAAGAGAGTTATCAAGCTAAGGAGCCCTTTTAGTAGAAATACTTCCACATGGTAAAGAACCTTTTAGAATGAATCAATGAGTTCAAGATCAACCATGTCCAAAGAGAAAGAAAAAAAGTGACAGGTTGACGTGTTGTATAAATTTACAAGCACAAAAAAACCTGGCCAACACAAAACTCTTATCCAATAAACCCTACACCAAGTTGGGATTGAGAAGACATATTTGAGATCTCCTTAGCCTCACCGAGCTAGATGACTCCCATCTTGTCTTATCTAACTTTAGACATGTTACTCACTAATCTAATATAAGCAAACTCCATACGCAGGCATGCAACATTCTACATTATGTATAACGAGGAACTCTTTAAGATAGGGTTTGTTTCGCCCATCCTCAAGTGTTTAGATTGGGAACAATCCTAATACGTGCTTGTCGAGATGTACGAGGGCATATGTGGCATGCATTCGGGAGGTTGGTGCATGGTTGCACAAGTACCCAAAGCCATATACTACTAGAGTACATTGAGAAAAGACGCCTATGAGTACATCATAAACTACCAATAATTCAGTCCT